TTCTCAGCCTGCATACAACTTAAAAATTCCAAACCCAGCCCCCAAGCATGCTCCTAGGTCACGTGCGGCCCTGTGAGAAAATTGCTAATTTGAGAACCAGAAAAGTTAGGAGGCTCTGATTTTAGGAGAACATTCCCCGTACAAATAAGACTTAAATCTTCAAATTCAGTCTTCATTTACGCGTGATTTTCGTGTACAGGCAATTAAACTTCTGGCGGGAAAATTACTCATTGAACAGTTGGGTTACTTTCAAAAAACACCGGTACACGGAACTAGTTTATTTCTTTTTATGCAAAATTTGCTATGATTTTCGGCATTAAGCACACAAAGTAGGTATAAGGAAACAACCGTTCATTCAGTTAACCCAATTCAAGTTTTGTGCAAAAACGCATGATCGCATCGGCTCGCCTGGTTCGTTCCAGTCTGGGTTGTCCCTAATGAATTGCCGTATTCTTCGCGTTTAACACAAGACTCAACAATTTATTCTGAATGTGACTTGTAGCCAGCAGGGTCATATTTAGAATTTCGCATGACTGGTGCAGATCGTTACAGTAAGCGCTTAAAAACATGGATAAGTATCGATGTGTTAAAAAGTAGGCACGTACCTATGCACAACTCCAAGTCCTACGCCACCAGTACCGGTGCCAACAACCGCAGCTACAACGTTCATATGGCATGTTCCTTGATAAGCGGCCTCCTGCGCAAAACCCGGGCAAGTTAGGCCATGTAGCAGGAAGCCAAGTGATATGGCTATTTCAACTCGGCACAAATTCACCATTATTGACAAATAACTGAAACAATACATACAAGATTTAGCACTAAAGTATCGTCGCTAATGGCTCAGTGGTAGGCCGAGCTTCAGAAAGATGAGCGGTGCACAGGAGAAATTACGAGGAAGTTTTGCGTTCATGCGTGACCCAAGATTTTAAAGTCGATTGCAAAGTACGTTTAGATCTCATGTATGTGTGGTTGTCAAATTAGATGCCGTTGGCACTCCTTTAACTCAAGAATCAGAACAATTAGCAAAACGCACTTTAATGAAGATATTTGCTACCCACGTACGCACCTGAAACATAAAATGAACTTCCGCGCACGCCTATCTCTCGCGTTCGGGCACGTCAAAAGTAAAATTTGTAAGATTTTCGGTATTCCCCTCTCTCTCGAAAAGCAGATAATTTGTTAAACTGGAATTTTACGAAGCCATTATCTATCTACACACGGCTTCAAAGCAGTAAAGCCAGCCTCATTACACAATCACATTAAATTTCAGATTGCAAAACTGTCCCCATCCTTTCAACTCGAGATTGAATAAAAAGAAACTTTTACTAAAAAAACCAAAACTAAAAAAAGGCGTTTGCTGTCCAGTTCGTAAGTACGAGATGAGCTCCCAGTCATGTCACGTTTTGTGGGTGGATACACTGAAGTTCTACCTTTAAAGTTGCCGGCATCATCTCACCTTCCAGTAATCAGACTCGTTAGAAAGCTGAAATTTTACGAGGCTCTACGGTGCGACATCATCGGCTCAGCCGAAGACTCTGCCTCGCCAAAAATGGAAAAAATATTAACGATAGCACTTTCCACATGAGCAAACACATCAAACGTAGCAGCAGTGAATGTCCCTACCCTTAATCTTACTGTTGCATGAAATTGCAAAAAGCAAGACCGCATCGGTAAAGCTAGTGCGAGCAGCTATTTATTTTTCTTTGCTTTCTTGGTAAAGACTGGTCTTGTTCGAGCCTATACCACTTCACATTTCGCATACAACTTTGTTATGGCTGTATTTTACGTAGCTTGTTCATTTTATCTGCACTTTCCTCCCTTCGAACATTTTGACGCTCTCTCACGGCGGAAGTGGGGACAACCTGCTGCATCTAATCCTAGGCACGTAACTCATTTTGCTTTGGCGTTTCTTAAACAAACTAGTCCATTTGAGAACTAAGTATATGTTTTTGCATATTCAACAGCGGAACATTAATGATTTATGCGTCTGCTGTGACAGCGATAAATTGAAGTAGAGTAGCCAATTTTTAAGCAGAGAAGCTAATTTTAGATAACAAGTCACTCCAAATTCTTCTCTCAGGGCATCCCCTTATTTTCCATATTTATTCAATTTCAGTGTGAGAGGTTAATTTAGAAATGAAAAATACTTGCTCAGTATGTTGTAGCCCAGCTCGCTGCATAACTGTATATGCTTTATAGCGCCTTTTCTGCAATTTTTCTCCTAACATGGCTTCGTCATCAGTTTCAGAACTCTGAAAATTTACACATTTAAAACAACTTATTGCGATGTCTTTTTTTAAAATGCCCATCCAAAGGAAGAAAAGCAAATTTTATTCGGGTCTGGCTCAGTAATTTTTTAAAAATTAAATGGTTTCAGGCTAATCAGCAGAACATCCTGGTGAATTTTTTGAATGGCACAAATTCATTATAACAGGGATAACTATTAAATTACTGATAGCAAATTTTCGTTTAAGAAACAGACTTTTAGTTGCACGAGCAATAGTTCTTGCAAAAGAAAACGACAATTCCAATTTCCTTGGAGA